CTTCCTACCATTTTTAAACACCACCACCCCATAATGATACAATCATACAACTGAATGACAAAAAATAATCAGAGGATTGATCGAGTTTACCAAGGGCTATGAAAAGACTCAGAGAGAAGAAAATCAGTAGCGAAGGATTTCTCATGATGCTTTTTTTTTTTGGACTCTCCCTGTGGTGAACAAGCGTAGTGGTAAAAGACTCGCTATTTATTGGTGTTACGGACATCAGGTGGGTCAACTAATCTGGGAGGTAAATACGATGATATCTGGAAATAAATCTCATTTTTTTTTTTCATATACGAGGAAATATGTTTTCGTATGCACGTTTCATCGTCTGTACCAGATTGTAAAGAAATCCATGCGGATTAAATTTTTTGGTTTACATGCATTGATATGTTTTTATCTAAATCTGTTTATATCCTTGCATATTTAGAGCGCACAACGTTTGATGATTATCAATTATTCTCTTCACATTGTACTACTTTTTCATCATTGCAATGACTTCACATGTTTAAAACGGTGGCGTTTCGGGTCAGAGTGAGCGTCGTCCGCTTAAGGTAGGTGACCGTGTATATAGGCTAAACGCAACTGTAGTCAAATGACAAACGCCTACACAATCGCCAAACAACGTTAGCGTTCACAAGTGTCGCCTACAAAAATGGAATGAAAAAGATGGTCCCGTGGGCCAACCCGCAGGGTATAAGAACCTCTCCCACCACCCTTCGCTCGCTCTCAACTTCCATAACCGCACTCTCCCTCTCTCTAACCAACCAAGAACGAACTTCCATTTTTCAAAATTTGAATTCGGATTCGGAGAAATGGGGAAAACAAAGGAGAGAGCGTCGAGGAAGAAGCTCCGGTCGACGCGTTCTCGCCGGAAGAGAGCTCAGATTTCTCCGGTGATTGTCCACTCTGCTCTTCCACGCCGGGACGGAGGAGTCTCCGCTGCTTCTATTGGTTCAAGCTTCGGCTCTTACCTCGATGTCGATGACAACGTGTCTTGCGGTTCGAGCAGAGTTGAGAAGAGCTCAATTCCGAGGAAGAGACGCATTCGTGAAGTTCAAGTTTCTGAACCGAGGACTGATGTGAAGGGGACGATCGGTGATCCCAGTTTTCGGAGGATCACCAGATCGTTTTCGAAGCTCAAGAGGGAAAGGGAGAGAGGGGAGGTCGAAGTGAGTGAATATTCTTGTGTCGAATCGAATTCCGGTGCTGGTCTCGTGTTAACGAGTTTGAAGACGAAGGATGAAGGTGAAGATGTGAAAGCATTAGTGAGTAACGAGAACGACGAAGTCTCGTTTACGCGATCGGACGTTACCTTCGCTGAGCATGTCTCCGACGGTAGGAATTTTAACTTCTCGTCGGAGAATAAGGAGAGCGATGTTGTTTCCGTCGCTTCAGGAGCGGAAGACTGCTCTGGTTCAAAATTCGGGAGCGTAACAGATGGAGCAGGTGCCGAAGGAGTCGAACTCTCTGAAATCTCTATTCCGAACAGCTTTGTTAACGAAGCCGAATTCACTCTCGGAGCCAAATTGGCCAACGAGCCGAACCAGAGGGTCGAAATCACTGGATGCGTATCGGATCTCGCTTGTACGGAGCAATTCTCTGGCGAAGAGGTGTCGGAGCATTCTGAAAATGCGATTTCGGAGCTGCATTCTGAGATATTTCCGGAGTATTCGGACCTTGATTCATCGGACTACACTCCGTCAATTTTCTTCGACTCCGGGAGTCAGTTCTCAGAGAAATCAGGCTGTGATTCTCCTCCTTCAGAGACTCGCTCTTTATTCCTAGACTTCAAAGAGCAATTCTGGAGATCCACAATTCCGAACGATGCGAAACCTTATTGCCTGCAGGACAACTTGGAAATTCATCCTGAAGTAAGTTTATAAATTTCATTTAACTTTTTTTATTAACTTCATTTCTGTCGGAACATTGCGAGTGGTTAGAATAATTCAATGTGGTTGCATGTTTGGATTTCACTCTCAATCTGCATATAGATTGAGCTGAAACTTAATCCGTGGCACTGCTTCCTAATCTGTCTCTGAAGCCCTACTATGGAGTGAATTTGACTGTTCCTTCTCTCTTCAAGAAACATTACAAAAAAAAGGAATCCGATGTTATATTATATTAAATTTTATATAAAACAAACATTATCCCGTCTTATTCTAAAACGGAAACATATGTTCTAGAAACTTTCCTCAGCGTCCATCAATGGACGTGAACGAATCGGCGAAACCAGAAGGCCTTGTCGGGATACTCGTCTGAGTATTGTCGCTGCTTCCGCAAGCAGAGGAAGACGAACCTGAATCCTCCAAATTGCTAAGCCCTTCGAAGGCTTTCCACTTCTTCACCCCCTGCGGCAATGGCATGTCGTAGTCGATTCCGCCCAGGTCGTCGGGGTCAGGTTCCGATGGCTTCCACTGTTCCACGAGAGAGGAGAGGACATTGACTATGTGACCCATGTCCGGACGCTGGTACGGCTCGCGGGCGCAGCAGTGGCCGGCCAGCTCAGAGACCTTGCCTACGCTGGAGAGGGTGTCTAGGGAAATGTACCACTAGGTTCAGCATTGTACCCTTGCCAACCCTTTCGTGATAGCTGATCACATAAAACTGTCCATTAAGACTACCGTTTTTGCGAGCTTGTTCATGTAACTATAAGGATGCATAATAACCTAATCTGTTCATCATTATACATCATAAGGTTTATAAAAAACGAGCTTATTCATGTAACTATAAGGATGCATAATAACCTAATCTGTTCATCATTATACATCATAGGGTTTATAAATCATCCAGACATCTTTATCTTTCTTGTTTATTATCCTCTCCTTAAATAAGCAGCAAAGTACTGAAATGGAGCTTGAGCAAGAGACAATGTTCCTGGGAGTTAGCCTCCTCGATCGTTTCCTGAGCAAAGGATCTTTCAAAAGTGAAAGGAGTCTAATCATTGTCGGAATATCCTGTCTCACACTGGCCACCAGACTCGAGGAAAATCAGCCCTACAACAGGTACAACATCTCCTTCCATATGTGTTGTGGCCTTAGAGTTTCTCAATACGATCCAATTTGGAAGGAAACAAACAACTCCCAAAACCAGGTAGCACTTGCCAAATCAGTCCTGCTCCCCAATCATTGATAAAGAAATCAAACTCAAACCGGTTCCGAAAGCTCCAATGTGCTGTGTGTCGGAAGTGAATTCTAATGCGTGCAAACTTTAGTGAAAATCATGTTGACACGTAGAAATTTCACTTTCACCTCATCTTCATCTATTAAGTGTGCGACAAAGGAACTTCTACATCCAGAAACAAAAGTTCAGAAGATGTGAAGTGGTGGCCATGGAGTGGCTGGTGCAAGAAGTCCTGAATTTCAGATGCCTCTCACCCACCATCTACAACTTCTTATGGTAAGCAACAGCTCTTATGCTCTTGTTCCACGCAGTAATTCAACAGCGAAGCTTATGTTAACGATTGTACTCTCTCTTAGGTTCTATATCAAAGCCGCAAGAGCCAGTCCAAACGTGGAAAAGAGGGCCAAATACTTAGCCGTGATGGCACTCTCGGATCACACTCAGCTCTGTTACTGGCCCTCCACAGTTGCAGCCGGAGTCGTCATCCTGGCTTGCATAGAGAACAACGAGTTCACAGCCTACCAGAGAGTAATTGAGGTAAAGCAGAAAGATGCACAATTTCGAATTGCAAGGAGTCATCTCCTGCAAAGCCATACTGATTTCGAGTAAATGCATCTACAGGTTCATGTTATAACAAAAGATAACGATCTGCCGGAATGCGTTAAGGTACTTAAAAAGAACTTGCTGCCTTAAAATTTTCACTAAATGCAAGAATCATAGTTACAATGGATTCTGTTTTATAGAGCCTGGAGTGGTTGCTTGGACACTAAGGCAATCCGTAAGACAGGCTGCAGTATACGACACTTGCAAACGGACACAGGTGACAAAGAAATTGGGGAAATGTGTATATATTCCCCGTATCAGCACTTCCCATTCACAATCACAGAGGTAAATAAAAAGAAATTCATATAGATACAAGAATTCTTTTTACGTAGATACGGGAATAGGACACCAAGAAAACTTTTATTTTTTTTATTATTTTTGTGTTTTTTTCTCCATGTAATTCGCTCACATTGCCATGTATGGGTTTGCTCACTCACAAATTTAATGCTTATTGTTGTGAGTGATGATACCTGTAAAAGAGAAGGACAATGTAGTCTACAACGAGGATTACATTTTTGGCGCGTGATGGTGGCGATGTAGCTGCATTTTTTGCCCGGAAGGGCAAAACCGTCAATTTGCCTCGACAGGCCATGACACCTCACGCGCTAACAAACTCCAGTCACGTGACACTACTGATAAACCCCCTCCCTGGACGTTCTCTCTCGCGCGCGCGTTCATCAGTCCGGATTCCGTATCGCTCCATTACATACACACTAGATAAATACCATTAACCTTTAAAAAACAACTTAACTATTTAGTGATTTGTTGGCCAATAGTTCACACATTTGTTAATGTTAACAATATATTGAATGTTCGAATATTGTAGTTCACCATTTTGTTGAGAAGAAATTGACCGCTTAACTTAATCGGCCATATGTTATGATTTATTATGCAAAAAAAAAAAAAAAAAGAAAGTTGATGTTGCACAACATAGCAAGAAGAAAAGAGTCAACACAACCGAAGAAGCATAAAAAGAAAAGAATCCGATATTATATTATATTGGTATAAAACAATTCTCCCATCTTATTCTAAACGGAAACATATGTCCTAGAAAGATTCAAGAAACATTACAAAAAAAAGGAATCCGATGTTATATTATATTAAATTTTATATAAAACAAACATTATCCCGTCTTATTCTAAAACGGAAACATATGTTCTAGAAACTTTCCTCAGCGTCCATCAATGGACGTGAACGAATCGGCGAAACCAGAAGGCCTTGTCGGGATACTCGTCTGAGTATTGTCGCTGCTTCCGCAAGCAGAGGAAGACGAACCTGAATCCTCCAAATTGCTAAGCCCTTCGAAGGCTTTCCACTTCTTCACCACCTGCGGCAATGGCATGTCGTAGTCGATTCCGCCCAGGTCGTCGGGGTCAGGTTCCGATGGCTTCCACTGTTCCACGAGAGAGGAGAGGACATTGACTATGTGACCCATGTCCGGACGCTGGTACGGCTCGCGGGCGCAGCAGTGGCCGGCCAGCTCAGAGACCTTGCCTACGCTGGAGAGGGTGTCGTCATCAAGGTGGATGGTGATGTCAACTGCGTTCTTGAAGGCGTCTTGGTCTTTGCCATGGTGAATCCTGCGGAACCAAGTGACCAGATGCATGCTGTCTTCCGGCTGTGTCTCGTCCAGTGCCCTTCGGCCTGTGATGAGTTCCATTAGTATGACCCCGAAGCTGAAGATATCAACTTTCGTCGTTACTCTTCCCGTCACTGCCAAATAAAATCAGGAGATTAAATTCGTCACTGCCACTTTCCAACAATCAAAACACCCCTAAAGACATTGGTTTGATCGAATGACTTGACTTAGTTACTCAAGAACTCGAATCAAATCAAGACCAAATGATTTCTGGGATTCGAGAAAAACCCGAGATTCACATTATTAACATGGAAGGAAAAACCACAGCTTTTCATGAAATCTCACACATGCTATTTTCATGAAGGACAAAACAAACCTGCATATTCGGGGGCAAGATATCCGAAAGTTCCAGCAAGTCGAGTCTCAATGGAATGCTTGCCATCAGGGGCAAGACGAACTAACCCAAAGTCGGAAACTTTGGCACGCATATCATCGCCCAGAAGAATGTTAGACGGCTTTAGATCCCTATGTATGAAGCTCTGGTGAGCAAGAGTATGCAGATATTCAACTCCTCTGGCCACATCCAATGCGATCGATAATCTTCTCGTCCATTCAAGCGGTTTAAGCCCTTCTTCCTTCCAATGGAACAAATGCTGGCTGAGAGTCCCCTGAGGCATGTACTCATAGACAAGAAGCCTCTCATTCCCATCGAGGCAGTACCCGAGTAGCCCAACCAGGTGACGGTGTCTCACTTTGGTCAGGACGGCGATCTCAGACTTGAACTCGCCCAGACCCTTGTCACTCACAACCGACGACTCCATTCTTTTCACGGCTATCTTTGTTCCGTCATGAAGTTCACCCATGTAGACTGTCCCAAACCCACCTTGCCCGAGAATGTTCTCATCGCTGAAGTTGTTTGTCACGTCCCTCAGGACCTGGATCGATATAACCATATTACCAGCCTCCACAACACGGACGTCGCTTGCCCCGTTACTCATATGACTGTAACAGCTCTCGCTCCCCCAATCGTTAACACTGGAAGCTGCAACAGTGAGCTTCACGGCAGGTTGGTCACCTGAGTATGGGGGATGTATCACCATGTGGGTAGGACTCTGAACTCTAGCTGGCCGTTTCCGTTTCGTGGCGTATATGCAAACGCCCAATCCAACCAGGCCCAATGCACCAACGGCCCCAACAACAGAACCAATAATCTTGACACTGGTAGATTTCTCAGAAGAATCTTCCCCAGCATTTCCACTTCCAGAACCTTCTCTGCCACCATTTCCAGAACCGTCCCTGCCACCATTTCCAGAACCTTTGCTACTGGAAGGTGTTCCCGAGGGGGGAAGACCGGGGGCCAGGTCCTTTCCCAAGTTTGTGTTCCCTTCACTCAGAAAAACCACACCATCCCTAAACTTTGGTACTTTGCCGGAAAGATGGTTGTTTGACACATCAAGCTTAATGAGCTTAGACAATGCAGCAAGTTCAGTCGGGATAGAACCCGTGAGTGCGTTATCAGCAAGATTGATGGTTACCAATGAAGTAAGCTTCGCAAAATTCGGGGATATTGTTCCTGAGAGACCCCGGCTCTTGAAAACGATCGTCGTGACGTTACTTCCCATACAAGAAATCCCATCCCAGAGATTATTAGTATCACACGGATTATTCCCTTTCCAACTAGACGCAAACCTCGCTGGATAGCCAAATGCCTCGACTATAGACAGCAGAATATCAACTTGGGGATCACAGGCAACACTAGGATCATCCGAACAGAAACTATTCATGCGGGGGGCCATATCAACTTGAACACCCTTGGCAAACATCGGAGCTCGCCCTTGGAGCATATTATTGGTTAAGTTCACAGTACGAAGCATAGGTAATTCAACGAGGCTCTGAGGAACAATACCGGTGAGTTGGTTGTCCCTTACACTGAAGTCCCTTAGAGTCTGGAGACCGGAGAGATCAGGGATCGAGCCAGAGAATTGGTTTCCATGCAACCAAACCTCATTTAACGCAGTCATGTTCTGCAAAATTGAGATCGAACCGTTTAGCTTCCCCGTGCTTTGTTGTCCATTCAGCCAGAGAGACTGGATCGACGAGCCCGCAAAACTCATTGGCAATTCGCTCTCGAGCTTATTGTAAGATAAACGGAGTTTCACCAAATTGGGAAGTGTTTGGCCGCCGAAAAATTCTGGGATTTTCCCATAAATGTTGCAATTGATAAAGGAAAACACTCGCAGAGACGTCGCGTCCTTAATGCTATCGGGAATTACTGACGAAGATAACGGGTTATTGTCGAGATACACTTCCTGCAGCATCGTCATACCTGCGAAGAGATTATTAGGGACCGAAGTGAACTGGTTGTCGCGAAGGTTCAGCCTCTGCAACTGCGACAGACCCGAAAGATCCGGAACCGGACCCCACAACTGATTTGCGAAGAACTCGAGAACAGTTAGGGAAGTGAGATTCTTAAGATCGGGAGGAAGAGTCCCACGGATCCCTTTGCTCTTCAGCTGAATTCGTGTGACCCGATTGCTGCTGTCGCATTGAACAGATAACCATCTGCACGGGTTCGGGTCGGACCAATCGACGTAGGAGGTGAGATTCAGACTCGATTTGAGAGCTTGCATGGAGGAAGCATCGGGGCTGGACTGCGAAACGGAGAAATCAGCGAGACCCAGCACAGAGACGAGAAAAGAGAGAATACCCAGATGGGAATTCTTCATCTTCCCTGGGGAATTCTCGAGAAAATCGGCGAGAACGCGAAGGAAACCCACTCAAAGCAGCCGCTTCACTGAAATTGCACTAGGGTTTACGGGGGCATTGATGAAAATGCTTCAACTTCAAGTGAGCAGATTTTTCAACAAGAGATCGAAAGAAAGTGAAGATAATTAGGGGATTGAAGCGGCGGATATCGAGGAAAGAAAGACCTCTAGCTTTTTTATTCTGCTTTGTTTTTTTTTTTTTTGGGTGAGGGAAGACAGATGAACCAGAAAAAATTAGAGTCGTCAAGTGAGAGAGAGGGAAGAGACACAAGAAGGACAAGACGAGGGTATATGTGTCATTTTGTCTGCGTGTGCTGTCTGATTTTTTTCCTCTCTCCCCCGATCGGGGCATATCCAGTTGGCACATGCAGAAGGTAGGGTCCACAATACATTTAAGTAATAATCCATAATTTGCGTGTATATCATATGGTCTTGATTTTTTTTGCCAGAATGGGGTGAGTGAGAGATCTCTATTTCTTTTTTTTTTTACAAAGAGAGATCTCTATTTTTGTAACCTCCCTTCTGTGATGATGCATAGTAATAATTAGATTTTATTTTCATTAGATCTTGGATTTTTCTTCTGGTTGTGAATGTATTTATTCTCTATAGATTTTTTTCCTTTTTGTGGAAAATAACTGCTTGTTTCGGTGCCAATGAAAATAATTACGTGATTATGAAAGTTCACCCGGAATTGTTATTTATTTCCCGTATAAGCTTTGTTAAATGGAAAATGTCACATGCATCAGAATATTTCTCTTTTATTTTTCTTTCCATAAAATATTTATTATAAAAACAAATCTGACGGTGGCATTGGGATCAAATGATTGGATGACATCGTACGGTCTAAACAAATGAAGATACATAAAATAAAAATATAAGGAGGACATTGATGTTTCGAATAATTACATTATGATAATTTGTTTATGCGTGGTGCATGATGATTTGTCTATGTATATTGATATATATGATATGTGTCATTTATCCAAACGTCAAATGCATGTCCAGATATCTTCATATGCCCGAAGCCGTTGATATTCGTCATAATATCCTAAAACGCCATGTCATCCCGTCCGTAGATATTACCGGTCGTTTTCCGGTTCGACATAACCGGTTTTCGTGTTAGTAAACCGAGAACACCATCCTTTTTCTTTTTTGTTTCAAGGGATCAGCATACGAACAAAACAAACATACGGCCGAAGATGCACGCCGGAAAATCTCTATCTCTGGCTCGAAGCAAACCTATATATACACCCATACACGAACCCTTCATCACATTACACAGATCCTCTTCGTGGAAAACCCATAAACGAACCCTTCATCGATCTTTTCCTATGATTTTCCTTGCCCATGCTGTCTGAAGACCGAGGAAATCTGCAGGGGCTGGCAGTTGATGACGCTTCACTCTGCTGCCCTACTTTTATTTCCACAGATGTTGTAACGTTCTTTTTCTACGAATCTGAGATGGGTTTGGCTTTGAAGCACTTCGCCACGGCTTGGTAGAGATTTTCCTCTTCGAAGGGTTTCGAGACATAACCGTCCATGCCGCTTTTCAGACACTCGTCATAGGTAGCGTGGATCACGTCCGCAGTCATAGCTAGTATCGGCATATGCAACTCCGCTTTTGTCTGCTCATTCGCTTGCTTTTCCATCATCCTTATCTGTCTGGTGGCTTCAAATCTGTAAAACAAACAGGTCAAGAACCCGATATCTCAAAATGGATTGGAAAAGGTGACTCAGGTCATTAGGAAGTACCCGTCCATCTCAGGCATTTGAATATCCATGAAGCATGCGTCAAATTTGTGAGGAATCTGAAGCAATGCCAAAGCAGATTTCCCGCTGTCAGCGCACTCAATGTTGGCTCCGAACTTCTTGAGTGCCCCAGCGGCTACTCTCCGGTTCACTCCGTTGTCATCCACCACCAGAATCTTCTTCCCAGTGAGCAAGCTCTTGAGTGTCATCCGAGACCCATCTGCCAAATCTTTTTCGGGCTGCCTCGTCTTTCTCAGCTCAAGAATCTGCTGCAGACAAGCCGCTATCATACTTGCCCTCAACGGCTTCATTATCACCGTATCCGCAAACCCTGTTGCCTTTGCTCTGTCAAACTCAAACTTACCGATGTTTGTGGCCAGAAGGGCGAGTTTCGGTGGCCTATGAGCCTGCCCGTTTGGCCTTGGATCCAACAGACGAATGTCTGAATAGCCAACTTCACTTGAAATCCAAGAATCCTTCTCCACGAGAATCAAATCCGGCTGTTTTATTACTCTGCAAGACAAAATCAATTTGTTTCCATTGAGACCCCAGAAATCAAATGAAGAAAACTGCTCGAATCCTTGTCATGACAGAGAAAGAACAACTTACCCAGATGTAAGAGAACCGTTTCTTCCACACGCAGTTGTAATTGCGGTTTTGAGACTTGGTATAACATCGACGTGAATTCCAAGTCTTTTCATATGGTATCTGGTCACAGCAGCTCTGACGGGTTTTGTATCAACCACTATAGCTCGCAATCCTCTAAAGTTTGAGGGAAGATCTTCTACATTAGATTTCTTCAAATCACAGGTCGTGTTTTTGTTGCACTTCTCAAACACAGCTGTGAACCAGAAGGTGCTTCCTACTTGCGGCCGGCTAATGAAACTGATCTGACCATGCATAAGTTCGACGAGACACTTACTGATGCTCAGACCAATCCCAGTTCCACCGTAGGTTCTTGAAGTCGAGCTGTCAGCTTGCATGAATGGCATGAAAACACAGCCTTGAGCAGATAACGGAATTCCAATACCCGTGTCTTCGATAGAGACCATTAACGTAATGTCATTTGAAATGCTTCCATTCGCAGTTGCTGAAGTGTAGAACTGTGATTCCTCACAGGAGACTAAGTGTTTGAATGAATCCCAGCTGTTCCTATCGTCGGCCGCTTCATAACCACTCAGCGTTTTAAACTTCAACCCATTGAAGGAAACGGCCATTTCCTCTGATCCTCCTCCGTTCAATGTATTATCCATTGTCAGGTCGGTTTCATCTTTAGATTGCTCAGCAAGATGAACTTTGACAAAGATATGTCCTTTATCTGTAAACTGTCAAAAGATTGTTTAATCAAGTCGAGTTTTCACAAATTATCACATGAAAAAGTGTTGGAGAAAAAAAAGACTGATAAAGATGCTTACTTTCACAGAATTTCCGACAAGATTTGTAACTATCTGTCTGAATCTCCCTGGATCTCCTATTACTATCTCTGGTACCTTATCGGAAACAAACACCGCTAGCTGCAAACCGGATAATAACAAGCAACAAATCAAGTTTGGCACCGCGAAAATGAACCGACATATAGCTTTTCAGTAGAAAAGCTGCAGCATTTTCCTGAAAAACTGATCTTCCCATGCGAATGGAAACAAATAAAAAAAGATGTTTTTCTTTCAGACACAAACTTACCTCGATACCTTTGTTCCTCGATTTTTCAGAAAACAGAGAGAGGACATCATCTAATATTGACCGGATGTCAAAAGGTACAGACTCCAACTCAAGCTTGCCGGCTTCAATCTTGGCACGATCAAGGACCTCGTTTATCAATGCGATCAGTGCCCTTCCACAAACTTGAGCAGTTTGAGCGTAATCCCTCTGTGTTGAGCTTAGTTCTGTATCCAGAAGCATAGCAAGCATTCCTCCCCAGCATT